TTTCGCTACCAGCTAATGCACAAAAACCAGTAATTGTTTTCAGTTTGTAAATAAATCATGTAAGGAATAAGTTAAAATTGTAGCTAAATAATAATGCATAAGATGATACACTGAAGTACCACTGAATTAAAGATACCTAAATGATTCACTGTTCCTTTGGTCTTGATAACTTGCTGTATGATGAGATAAGGATTCTATCTCATCATACAGCAAGCTGGATCTTACAGCAGGGTTCTAGAAGTACGGCCTACCAGACATCTAGAATTTTTCATAAATAAGCTAAGGATGCCAGTGTTGAATGATATGCATGCACATCTTTTTCCAGAGTACTCCAAAGGTGTTCAACAGGATTCAAGTTCAGACTTCTTGGTGGTCAAACTCAGCAGGGAAAATTCAGTGGAATGCTCCTCAAACCAGATCGTAGACATCTGAGATCTGTATCAGAAGCAGATGTCCTGATGGTGTACAGCATTTTTCTCCAGATGGTAAAAAAGCATGAAGTGAATTAAATTAATATCCAACAGTTCTATATACTCAAAAAGGAAGACACTTGGCTCAAGTGTCAAAAGAGCCAAAACCTGCCAAGGAAAAACATTCCAGATCAACTACTGAGTCTCACTGATCTTGTACATTTCTAACCTGGCAAGTTGGATTTACGGCTTCATGGAATTGGCAACATATTCTTAGCTAACCATCAGTATGATGTTGTTGGATTCAAGACTCATCAACTCCGTGTTATTCACTTCCAGTCACCCAAAGATCCAGTCATGGTAATCTGTAACTCATGCAAGACATTAAGTGCAGTGACACTGAGAGTGACACTTTCATGGGTCTTTGGCTTCAGAAGTCCATATGGTGGAGCAACTGCTAAGGTTTAACTACTGAATGCCTCATTGGACTCCTTCTTCAGCTGGATGGTAACCTGAGCTAAGGTTTGGTATTTTTGGCTAAGTACAACAGAGTGATATTCAAAACATTGCAGTCATTTAAGGCTGCTTGTTCCTTACAGTTTGTCTGATTACTCTTTATGTTACTTTTCCAGCTATCTGAGTACTCTCACCATACTCTTGACACTGTTAAACAAGTAAACCTCAGTTCTTGAAATAGTTCTGAAATTGTATGACCCATGTGCTGAATGTTTATATTTCTATTCAATTGAAGATGTCAAAATCATGCTATATTATGTTACTTCTAACAGTTGTTTAAAAAAGGCTACACTTCTGGCTACATGCAATGGCGGACCCATAGCTGTTGAGGCCTGGAGCAAATATTTCCCGAGGTCCCCCTTATTGGAACGATCACCATACAACACAAATATATAATTAACATTTCTTTAATTAAAATTAAATAACTAAGATGGTTTGGAAAACAAAAAAAAAATCTTAAGACTAAAGAAAAAACAATTTACATCTAGTAGATAAACTTATATTAAAAAAATTATAAAGCTGATTAATCTGCCACTTCTGATGTTTTAAAAAGCTTATTACATTTTAAAAAGCTTATTACTGGTTCATCATTGATCAAAGTTAGCTTTTAATCAGCTTACTTTAATTGTAAGTAATTGAAACACACAATGTCAAAAAAGTTTTTAGTGCCAAATTTAAGTTAGAAAGTGATTCTTAGAAGTCCATTTCTGCAATAAGCCTCCACATCAAAAGTAAACAGTTTCCCAGATATTCAAGTTTTAAAAATCGCAATATTACAGCTTTCACAGCCTGTACATGGAAGACTAATTACTTAGGATGAATAAAATAGTATGTTATAAGACATTGTTTCCTAGCTATACTCAACTTTGGATTTCCCAAAAAAACTCACAACCTTATTTTTCAAGTTTTCATTCTACCATAATTTGAAGTCAATAAAAATGCAAGCTCAAAGTTGAGACAGCCTATATAAGCTGCAGTCCTTTTTATATTCATCAGAGTTATCACCAGAGTATTAGAGTCACCAAAATGTAAAACTAACAGACTTTGGTTTGTTGTGTTACAATAAAAAACTCTTGAGTAACATTTGTAATTAACAAACTAAATAATAAAAATTTTATTAGGAAAATTAATGTTTAAACCTATCTTTTAATGAATAACTTTTCATGGGGTGCTCCCATCAATGTAGAAAGTATTTTAGCCTACTTGTTTACTTCATCCAAAAACTATCTGCTGGTATTGGTGTGACATAAAAGTTGGAAGCTAATTGTAAAGCCATGTAGTTTCGAATTTATAGCTTTATTAGTTGTTAAAAAGACGAGAAATGCAATCTAATAAGCCTCTAATGGTTCACCAGCACCCAAGCAGTAAAAGCTACTGAATACTGGTAGTTCAGTCCATAGTTTGAGGCCCGGCGAACAGACTGGCTGCATGGGTGTTTTCATGGTTTTCCCCATGTGTAACATTGATATCAGCCAATTTCCCTTAAAAAGACGTCCACGGGGCATCCCTCCCTTTCCGTGTAGTGCCTAAAAGAGTTACTCTAACTAGGGCACACACATATAGTTAAAAAAAGATAAATAAATAAGTCTCTAACAGATGACTGGCAGTCAACATGTCAAGAACTTAATGTGATAGGCAGCAATGGTTCTGTAATTAATACCAGTTTGAAAAATGGTGTTAACCTTATTCAGTTGCATGATTTGTGCCCACGCATTAGTACCCGTCTAAAGTCGTTAATTCGACACCCTACTTCGGATATCTATATCCGGCCTCAAACGAAAAACTTCTGCTCATGCGGCGCGTTGACAATTCCTAGGCGTTTACGCGTGCGCATAGACTTTACGACTGCGCAATGAGTTGCGCAGCGCAGAACATTTTCGGGCTGTTTATGTATACAGACGGTAAGCTAAAATTATCTAATTAACTTTTCAGTTAATGTTGAGATTGCGTTGTTCCTTAATCTTCGAATTGGATTCGCTTATTATTTTTGCAGACTGTAGACAATTTATAAAAAGTAAACTTGAACTTTCGATTATGTCAAATAGAATTTCCGATCTGGAGATCCCAAAGGATCGACAAAACGAAATGTGTTCGATGTCCTCAAACAAAAGTGGAATTGATGCAAAAATGATAAGACATGAAATGACAGAGAGGTTAGTGAAATAAAAAATTTCGTGGACAAGTTAGTGGTATTCTCGGCACAACAAAAAACGGGACTGAACGCCGAACTTTGTATGCAAAAATTATTTGTTTTAGATTAAAGAGAAGCACATAAAACAAATTACATTGAAAGAAATTTTAATAAAGTAACAAAAAATATTAAGTTTTCTTTTGTAATTTTGATCCTTTAGATCATAATTGTTCTTTTTTCATAAATTGCAATTTCATATTTTAATTTTATATTTCTGCAGCCTCTTACGAATTTAACTGATGCTCTATAATCCGGAAAATCGTAAGCCGCATCGCCGAAATCCCGACGTGTCCGGATAACGACTTTTGACTGTATATGTATCTTCCACTTCAATGAACTGCAATTCTCTCACCTAGTTTGTCACTTGCATGATGTTACCACAAAGCCCAAATAATTTACTGCACCAAATGGGAAGAATCTCCCTGACTTCTGAAAAACTTCCACCAATTTGCTTTGAATGTGTTGAAAGCCTCATCCCAAGTCGATAGAAAAGTACTGAGCAACTTGATATTTCTGCTACCATAAAGTCAGGTACAGTTTTAGAAGATTTAGCAAAATGTTGCTATTTTTACAATAAAAATTGTGTTTTTAGAGCTTTTTTACACAAACAATAAATAATTTGAAATTATGGGTTTTACACTTTTTCATGTCTCTCACGGCCAAAAATTCACATTAAGAACAATTGCCTTTCAATAGTAGTAAGTTTAGTAATTATAAAAATTTGATTAAAAAACAGCAGAATTTGACTATTTTTTTTTAATTTTCAGTAAGATGCACAAACAGAATATAAATTTTTATATGAAAACTTTTTTCATTTTGCATAGCTACATGAAAGGTAACATTTTCCAGGTCATAGCGACAGCAAAAATTTTAAAAGAAAATATTTTTCCTGTGCTTCTATTAAAGTGTTTCTATTACTCACCTAGTGCATATAGTAGAGCTGCATCTACCACCCAAGCAGCTGCATGAGAGCAAGAGCATTGCTAAAGGGGTGGAAAACTACTTATATCTTAAAAATTACAGCATGAGCGCTTCCAACATAAACTTTTAAACATAAATAAGGCACATTTATAAAAAATTATACTCCTAGAATACAAAATTCCTTTTTATATTCCTACATATAACTAAAAACATAAGATTCTTTGGAGGTCCCAATTGTCTTTACCAGTTCTCCCCCTTGGTATATCACTTTGAACACTACATGAATCATACTGCAGCATTTTTGTACTTGTGGAAAGGAAGCAGCCATCTCATGATATTTGCATTATATTGTCTATTCTTAATTAAGTAGCCCTTATATATGTCGTCAGTATTACATAAATACATCATTCAGCACAATATTAATAATTTTTAAAACTTTTTGCTTGGGTTTTTTAATAATTTCTAAAAATAGCTATTTCACATCATGAATACCATAAATAATCTTATAACTGAGAACTCCAAAATTTCAGACAATATTCTTGAGTTCTTTGTTGTCTGTACACAAAACGAAATTTAATTGTTATGATGGATTTTTTTAATGGTATATAAATTTCAAACCTCTATATAGATTTCTTTATAGAATTCTATTCAAACACTAATATGCTTTTACAATATTTTGATATTTCTCTACACCATTTTTGTTGAAATCTAAATGAAGAAATGAATGGGGCTTTTAAAAGTGCAATTTGTTTTAACTCTTAATTTCTTTCAACAGTTAGTACACTCATACTAAAAAAAATAAGAAACAAATACTAAAAGAAAAGGTACGAATGTAAAAATGGGGAATTAAAACTTACAGTTTACATATGACACAGAGGTTACATTGCCAAATGCAAACAGGCAAGTGAAACTAGCAGAAAATGCAATCCCGAAGCTCCACCACGACAGCTTAAAAATGGGCATGCTGAACCTATGTGTCAATTTGCAAGCAGCAACAGTTCCATGTAATTTGAAATAGCCAAAGCAGAAAGCATGACCCGATGAGCCTGCATGATGAAACTCAGAGGGTTATCGAGATGTTGCAAGCTGGTGTTAGACAATCTGCTGTTGCGAGAGAATGTGCATCACAGTGTCGTCAATAGGCTGTGGAATCATTACCAAAGGGTTCAATACTTCTGTAAAAAATGTGAGTCTGGATGGCGGAGAATTACCACAACAGCATACAATCACATCCTGTTGCTATGTACAAGACGCCATAGATCACTAACAGCACAACAGCTGGGGTCATATCTATCTGCTGCTGCATGATGGCCCATATCCTGAAAAACTCTGCCCCGTCAACTTCATGAAAGTGGACAGTATGCCTGACAGCCTATGGTTTTCTGTTCATTTATCCCTATTGCATTTCACAACGCAGTTGAGTTGGGCTCATGAGCATTGCAGTTGGACACCAGAGCAATGTGGCCAAATACTCTTTATGGACAAGTCTCGATTTAATATCCAGAATGATTCCCAAAGAGCAATGATATAGTGACAGCCATAGACACATTATCAAGCAACAAACATCATTGAAAAAGACCATTACAGAGGAGTAGACTTACTTACACAGTTAGAATAGCAACGAATGGCCTCACCGACTTCTACATGATTCCTGGTGGTTCCGTCACAGCTGTCCAATATCACGATGAAATTTTACATTGTCATGTCCGTCCTTTTATCGCTGTAATGGGTACCAACATGACATATATGGACAATAATTTTACATTGTCATGTCCGTCCTTTTATCGCTGTAATGGGTACCAACATGACATATATGGACAATAACACTCACACACATGCATCTCAAGTGGTGTGGAGCTATCTCAAGAGTGCAATCATTCCACATCTACTGTGGCCTGCTAGATCACCAGACCTGAATCTCACACAGCATGACTGAGACATGCGACGATGGATAGCAGGTTGCAGTGTGCCACTAGGCACCCTCCACAAGCTCTAACATGCATTACTACATGGAATGCTAAAAAATGGATGCTAGTGCCACAACAAGCGATCAACGAAACTATTGCCAGCTTGCCTCCCGGCTGTCAAGCATGCATTTCAGCTATAGGATATCATACCCATTATTAGTGTGATGTTTTCCCACTGCACATTCTTTCATGGTGTAATGGTCATAATACAAACGTTTTTGTATGCCTTTGCTTTATTGTTTGCTATGTAGTCTAGTAATGCCACACCAACCTTTCGAATCAATTTCATGCTTATGCATCAAATAGTTTTTGTTTTATTCTATGTTTTGCCTTTGTTGCTTATTTTTTTAACAGACGTGTAGTTAGTTTAATGAGTAGACAGCAATAGATGTTTATGTAAGAAGAAAAGCCAAACATTTATATCGTTGTATACATATGTATGGGTTCATAATGGACTAAATGCACGCAGAATCAATGACAGCTTGGTAAAATTTATTTTCAAAAAACAAAAAAAAAACACTTAACAGTTCTGTAACTTTCCACAAAAGTCCTCACACAGCTCTTGTCAGTATGATAGAGCACAAAACTACTAAGAAACTACTAAGAAAATTAAAACTTCAAACTTCTAAGAAAATTAAACACAACGCAAAGTGCATCTAAAGATTGAAGCTCACATTGAGCCAATTCTGAACTAAAATTGAGAACTAATGCTCTCTCCAGTCTTATACAGTTTTCCACCGGCCAATGTGAAATTTCTAATATCTTCTATTTCTCGAAATTGGTTAAAGTAACATATATAAGCCAGATATGGTTACAGTTATGTATAGGGATCAATTACAGTTATTCCTTTACAGTACCAATTACAGTTATACAGGGACCAGACCAAAATGTTGCAAAAACCATTGCCAACTTGGTGCTCGTCCATTTACACCAATGTTAAAAACGGACCTACCCTGTAGTCTTATTTTTCTGGCTATAGAGGAATTTCATGTTGCATTATACAAGAGATACTACAATTTTACATATAATTTCACTAATTTTTTTATATATATACAAAATTCATAACAATGCGTTTCCTTTTTTTTTTTTTTTCTTATTTTAAAAATTTGTTAAATATTTAATTTTAATGGCAAACTCTCCTTTAACATGCTAGGCTGCAATCTGAAACTTCCATATCGCAGATCTTTACTTTCTTGTACAGAATAAAGGAAGTATTGTAATCACGAAAAATTCCAGGTACCATATTTTAACGAAATATCCATTTTGACTGCTTTCAAATGCAATTTAACAATGTTTTTGTGTGACATCTGTATGTAAGGACAGTGTTATGTTAAAAAATCATGGTAGGATTAATTGTTATAGAAAAATCATATGGTTTCCTACTCTGTTGACATAACACTTAAAATTTTTTTAACAACAGTAATAAACTAATATCAATAAGCCCTGTACATTTGCGTTGTGTTTTCGGATTAACCCTGAAATCAATTTGAGAATGAGACAGGTGAAAAATCATGAGCACACACAAAAATTTAACCTTTGAATGATCTAGAAAAACTTATTTATTTAACTATTAATGTCAATTATAAATATATATATCCATTAGTTGAAAAAAAATATTAAATATATTCAACAAAATTTGAACTATTGTTTACACATCAAACATTTCCAAGTAATTATTTTTTAAAACATCCTTGTAATTACTATTAAATTTAATATTGCAAATCTGGTAAAACATACCAAAATAAACTATAAATTTAAGAACACTACCCTCCCCGGGGAGAAAATAATAAAAAAAAAATTAACAAGCTACACTTTCTACTTCACACAGAATTCATCTATACAACAAAAATTATGCTTAATATTGCACTCAATATAATCATTTAAATACTATTATTGCACATAAATTTTTATTATTCAATTTTTTTTCCTTAGATTAATTAAATATGGTTTTAAACCGGATAAAGATAAGTAATGACACATTTACTATTCTACAAACAAGTTCGTCTGAGAAACAAGAATGCTCTAATACAAGCACTATTTCAAATCATCCTCACCAATGAGTAATTCAAAAAAAAAAACATTCAAGTAAATAATTTCCTGAAGAACTTAATTTTCTTAACCATTAAGTTAAGTTACAATAATTTTAATAAGGTTATAAATCTTTATTCCATTTAATGCTTTTACTTGATTGATACACCACCAAAGAAAAAGATTTCTATAGAGTTAGGATAAAGTTATCAATTACAAAAAAAAAATTAAGGTTCAACAAATTAACAAATTAAGTTAATTCAATCATTTTACTGCAGAAATCTATAATACTTAACCAACCAAGAATTAAACAAAAAAGAAAGGAGAATTTATCTGTAATTGAGTAGCAGGCAAGACAACCTAAAAAAATGTCCATTGAAGCTCATGAGGAATGCTGCAGCCTGTTGAATGGAAAAAAAAAATGTTCGTCGAACAGTTTGGATTCAATTCTGTAGCCTAGAAGTTCTAGTAGATTTTAGGATGAACAATAGGTTCCAATACGGCAAGATAAGTGAAATACAGTGCTGGCGGCCTGTTGAATGGAAAAAAAAATGTTCCTAGAACAGTATGGATTCATTACGGTAGCCTTGAAGTTCTAGTAGATTTTAGGATGAGCGAATGAGGTTCCAAAAGCAACGATTTTAAATTATTCATTATGGTAGCCTTGAAGTTCTAGTAGAATTTAGGATGAGCAAATGAGGTTCCAAAAACAACGGTTTTAAATAACGCTCTGGTCTCGAGTGAAGCGACGAATCAATGGTGCGCATCATTTTTCTAGAAATTTACTTCTGTATATTTTCCTGGAGATACACAAACACACACAACAAAAACTGATGAAAGAATTTCGATTTGTTTTTTTTTTTTTGTTTTTTTTTTTTTTTTTTTTTTTTTTTTTTTTTGAAGACATAGATGCCCATACTTACGGCCCGCGCTCACAGCGCTTAGCCAAGAGGCCCGTAGGCCTATCGGGGAGAAGCTCCATTTTCTTCGTCGGAGTCAGCTGTCGCCTCCGGCCAATTCAAAGGGCAACAGAAGTTAAAAAAGTGCAAAAAGTGTCAAAAAGTGAG